AGGGAGATGGCTCAGTGGAATAAGCGCTTCCCTGGCAAGTGCAAGGGCCTGAGTTCAATCCCCAGTTCCACCAAAAAAAAAAAAAAAAAAAAAAAGGAAAAAAAAGAAAAAAGAGAATAGAGGGAGACAGTAACAGGAACATGACAACCCCAGGGTGTTGAAATTTTCTGGTAATCTTCTCTTTTCTAAGCTAAAGAAACATTCAATTTGAAGTGTTCAAGGCCTTTCGTCATTAGTGCTTTCCCATGAATTCTGCAGCTGTGAGCAATTCACCTTGCAAGTCTGCAACCTTATGTGAAAGGAGCCAAAGATGGACTTGTAGTCAAAAGCTTAACATTGTATTTGTGAAATGGGTTATTTTATTTCACCAACTTTTTCTGGAACAAGAGTTCATGCCTTTCTGCTCAGTCTGAGCTGTCTTCTCTTGCTATAGAAGCATTCCAAGGGGTAGCAATGTCTGCCCTCCAGGGCCCACTAACACTGTCTCAGAGGACTGGAAATTTAACGCAAATTTGATCATAATGTCTAAGGTTCCATTTCTATTGAGGACTTGCTGAGGGAGAAAGGGATGCTCATAGCAGTGCAGTCTGGAACATAAGACTCCCCTCCCCATCATAGGAAAGTGAAAATCCTAATTGTAGTGGATATAATGTTCATATGTTTGAAGACAATTATTTTCATGGTGCCTCCCCAATTCAACCTCACATGTCCATTTTGTGAGGCTGGTCAGCTGTATTCCTAGAGACTAACTGTTGTAGATTTGTGATTTTTTTTGGCCCAGGGAATTAAAAACAGAAAAACAGACAGACACACAACAAAGCACTTTCAGTTTCTACACCTTTTTCATACTTCCAATCTTCACTCCACATTCTTGTGTTCCTTACTTGTGAAAGAATAGTAATTTCAAATGAAATCATTGAAACTCAAGGTTTATTACATCCTATATTACATTCTGATTTTGACCAGTTGAAGTATGAATTCAACATAAATGTTAAAATTAGTTATCATAAATTATTTACTATACAAGAGCTTTTACAAAAATACTGGGAATTGAGGAGAAAAATACAATAGGAAATATTACAAAATGTTAACTGTTCCTATGAATACTGGGAGAGTGGATGTTTACACTTTCTGTATTATCAACATTCACAGTTAATTCATGATTATTCAGTAAGAAAATTATTTACTTAGTAGAAAAGGTAACTCCCTATTCACTTGAAGAATCCCTTTACATAAATTTGGGATTTTGCTCAGTGATAATTTGCACAACTTTTTAACTTAAACACTCAACTGCACATACCCTATTACAATACCTACAATTACCAAATTTTCCAACGTGACTCCTACATGAATTATCTTTGGGAACTGTGGGTTAGGTAAAACTATCAAAATAAAAATTAGTAGGGAAATATAATTTTCACCAATTGGAAAGGTTAATCCCAAGAACTATTTATTGGCCTCAAGTGGCTGAAGAGCAAACCTGGTGCTGAAAGAAATGTATAGGGAATGACAAATAGTGGGACCTGAGAAAGCAGATTTCCCACTGTGTTCCTACAATCTTCCCATTTCCTGAGCCCCAAGGTGGTGGGGACACAAATGGTCCATCTCCCACTCTCCTTCCAAACATGCATTTTTTTCCTTGATATACAGACACTGTTTCAATAAAATACACTAGAGTTTCCTAGCACATTAATTCTGAGCATGCAAAGGCCTCAGAGCTCACTTCATCTGTGACAGTGATTAAAAATAGGAAGAGAAACCAATACAAGTCTGCCTTCTGCACCTATGTATAAAAATAAATTGTTGCTAGAGTGGAATCATAACGAAAAGATGCTTCCAGATCTCCCTTATCTTTATACCACATATGTTCTCCGACTTCTCCCTCTTCACCTGTGTCATTCACCTTGCTAACTTTCTACAATTTAGGTTTTATCTCTGACTTCATCACATGTAAGGAATCTTTCGTTACTCATAGACCAGGTAGGATATCCATGCCCTGTTTTTCAACAGGAGGCTGGCTTTCTCTTAGCAAATCGCCATACTATACTGTATCACTCATGTATTCAATACGTGTTTCCCTAAGCATGAAACTAAAAGTTGGTGGGTGGGCAAAGGCCATATACCCCCTAGTGGCTAAACATAGCAGATGCTCAACAAATAAGGCCAGAATTAACTTCAACAGAAAGCTCAAAGCAGCAGGAAAAATTACCAAGGGGTATAATATGCCATCATTTTTTGGATGTCAAACCATCTTACATACTATTAAACTGACTGACAGCATAATACAGCTTTCACATGCCACATAATTCAACTCAGCACAAGTCTCCACATACAAAATGCACAAATGCCCTTGCATGGAAAAGATCACATTGTATGCAGCTATTTCCTTATCTGTTCTAATCCTGGACTTTCTGTGAAGGTGCTAATGGCAGTTTTATCTGCATTGGTCTGAAAGTGAGGAGAAGGTACTTCAGGTGAAACTCATTATCATGAAATCAATCCTAGGAAATACCTACCATTCTTCCGTTAAACACTTCAAGAATCCTAATATTGCTGTGTGGAGCTCCTCTTATTTTACTGGACTGTGCTGGGCTCTCTCAGGAAACTTTAAAGTTATGACACTATTTCACTACTGTATAATTCTTACCTACAGTGTTAGACTCTAGTGTGTGTTCTCTGATGCCGCATAAGGCCTGACCTATGTCTAAATGTTTTTCTACATTCACTACATTCATAAGGCTTCTCCCCAGTGTGTATTCTCTGGTGTTGAGTGAGGGCTGAGCTCTGATTAAAGGATTTTCCACATTCATTACATTCATAAGGTTTCTCTCCAGTGTGAATTCTTTGATGTTCAATAAGGATAGAGCTCCTCCCAAAAGACTTACCACATTCAGTACATTCATATACTTTATCTCCACTGTGAATTTTCTTGTGCTGAATAAGTGCTGAACTCCGGCTGAAGGCTTTCCCACATTCACCACACTCATAAGGTTTCTCTCCAGTGTGAATTCTCCGATGTCTAATGAGATCTGAGCTGCCCCTGAAAGCTTTCCCACATTCACAACATTCATAGGGTTTCTCACCAGTGTGAATTCTTTGATGTTCAATAAGGATAGAGCTCCTCCCAAAAGACTTACCACATTCAGTACATTCATATGCTTTATCGCCAGTGTGAATTTTCTTATGCTGATTAAGGGCAGAAATCTGGCTGAAGGCTTTTCTACATTCACCACATTCATACGGTTTCTCTCCAGTATGAATTCTCTGATGCGTAATGAGCTCTGAGTGGCTCCTTAAAGCTTTTCCACATTCATGACATTCATAAGGATTTTCACCAATGTGAATTTTCTGATGTCGAATCAGCTTTGAGCTCTGGCAAAAGGCTTTCCCACAGTCAAAGCATTCATAAAGATCTCTTGTGTGAACACTCTGTCTTGTAATTTCATTTGTGTTGAGACTGAGATGTTCTTCATTTTCACTACATTGAAGGATACTCTGTTTTGTGGGAATTTGCTTGCTGAAGACTGCCAGACTAACATGTGTTTCCTGGGAAGAGAGCTGACTTGTGTTGCATGCAACACTTTCCCTCTGCTTCTCAGCATTGTCCAGATCTCCTGAAGCTTCGACTACCTGTCCCGAAGATAGCAGAGCTACTGATTCTACATGTTCAATAATTTCTTCTTTCACTGTCAACACTTTGTCACTCGCCATCTTGTCATCTAAAAATGTGAACAGAAAATGCAAGTATGATTTACCCCCATGTTAGAAGAAAGGAAAGGATTGTAGTAGAACAAAGTAAACCAAATTAAAAAGACGTTTTATATATTAGGAGAAAAATTCTCAGAATTAGCTTCTCAGTTTGGAATAGAGAATATACCAGGGTAGGATGAGGTGGCCCCATCAGATAGTACACAATAAATAATAGCCAATATTGAACAGGAATAATGGTGAGCCTGGATAGATGTTTAAGGTGACAAATAAGAGCATCAGGAAAAGAAATGAGGAAGCTAGGAAATAATTCTGTATTATAGAAAATATACCTTGGGGGTTATTACTGGACAGGAGTAAGTAAAAAGGAACCAAAAAAGCATGAAGGCAATTGCATTTTCGGAAAGTTTCCAGGGGATCAAATAAATATAAGCAATAGAATAAGACACAATGAACAATATAACTTATAGGATTTAAAATACTTCAGCTAGGTATAACGGAGCAGGCCTGTCATTCCAGCACTTCAGAGGCACCATAGGTTCACCATAAGTTCATAGGAACACCATAAGTTCAAGTGTAGTCTGGACTACAGAGTGAGGCCCTCTCTCAAAAAATTAAAGTAACATAAAATGAAATAAAATTCTTTTTTTAACTCTATAACTACATAAAGTTAAATTATCACACTGAGCTAGGTGTGATAGCTCAAGCTTGACTCCCAGCTTCTCAGGATACTGAGGCACAATGACTCACAAGTTCAAAGCCAGATTAAATAATTTAGTGAGACTCTACCTCAAAGGAAAAACAAAACAATAAACAAAAAGAGATGACTATAATTCAGTGGTAGGATATGTTCCCAGAATGTATAGTCTATGTGTTCAAGTATCACACATGCACATACACACAGTGAAACCAGAAAGTTGAACCTTGGATTTATGAATCAGAAAAGCTTAAATATTTTTATTTTGAACTATACACTTAAGATTCTACAAAATTAGATACCAAGTTTACAAAAAATAATTCCCAGCAATGACAGAAATTAAGAATAAAATAAGTTACTTGAGTATTTATAAAAGGTAGTATAGAAACAGTGATTTCATGCCCTAATTCTAGGCACTAAATGGAGGGATATACATTATAGGAAGCTGTCGTAGAAGAAAAGTCACAGTTTGCTCATTACAACTCTTTATGGACCCCCTACTATTGCTCTTTAGCCTAAAATCATTTTAGCTAAGGATGTAGCCATTCTGCCTCACTTAACAAATAATTTCACTCTTGATGCTATTACATGATGCTCCACCTAAACCTCATTACAACTATGCTGCCTCTTTCCATTAGCTGCTTTGAGAGTTGGCTCCTTCTATGATCTGAATGTGTGCAGCTTCCAAAATACACATGTTGAAATCATAACCCCTGGAGCCAGGGAGATAGCTCAATAGAATAAGTGCTTCCCTGGCAAGCGCAAGGGCCTGAGTTCAATCCCCAGTTCTGCAAAAAAACCCACAAAAAATCATAACCCCAGAGATGACAGTATGAGGAGGTGAAGAGTTTCAGGACACAGATCATGAAGGCAAAGCCTGCTCTGACTATATAGCAAAACCCTGTCTCTACACATACTCTGATATAAAGACCTCCAAACACTTAAATTACAGTAGAGTCTCTATCTCTCAAGACCTTGAAAAAGAAATCAGAAATAACCCCAAGTGATTCAGATATTGCTTCCCCCTGGGTATTGCTCATGCACAGGTTCTTTTATGGGCAAGTGGGTCCCAGTGTGGCCATGGGGGAACCGATGGAACCACTAAGAGGTGGAAGTGGTCAACTGAGGTTCTGCTCTTGAAAAGGATTAAGATATTCCTCACTGGGGGCCGGGGAGATGTCTCAGTGGAATAAGTGCTTCCCTGGCAAACGCAAGGGCCTGAGTTCAATCCCTGGTTCCGCCAAAAGAAAAAAAAAATAAGAAAAGATATTCCTCATAGTTTGTTTTTCTCAGAGGACTATTATAAATGCCTAAACCTGACCTAATTCACTTTCTGCCTCCTGCCACAAACTGTGATCACTCATCCTACATGTGTTCTTGTCACCTGTCATCATTACTGTGGTATGACAAAGCAGAGGGTATCCCAGAAATGAATCTACAAACACCATGAGCTAAAATATTCCTTCTGTTATACAACTTGCAACTTCAGGTATTTCATTATAGTGATGAAAAACTGATTAATACTGTCATTTACCTGCTTTAAAATAAGGGAGTAACTAGTAATTAGTGTATGGTGGCACACATCAATAATCCCAACACTACGGAGGCTCAGGCAGAAGGACCATGACTTCTAGGCCAGTCTGGACTACATAAGCAAGTTAAAGGCCAACCCATGCTCCATAGCCAGATGCTAACTCAAAACAACAAGGACAACAACAAAAGACAGGAGAGTGGATGATTTTCCAAAATGCGCTTTAATGTAGCTCCCATTTGGTGCAAAGAATATTCTCAGAGGGAAGTACTGGGGTAGGATGTATGAGGGAAACAGAGGCAGTTCAAAAGAGAACTCAGTGGATAGTGACATGGATTTCTTTGGTGAATTGTCAAGATCTAGGACAGTGATGGCAAACTTTTTCCAGGTTTCAATAACATACAGCCACCTCTGGAACACATGCCATAGATTTTCCACGACCACTCCAGGATCTGTCCCTTACGCTTGGTCCTTATAAAGCGAATCTACCATCATACAATAAATCGATTTATTTCTTGGGACTGATTCTTACTAACCACGCTCATGAATCTAAGCAATAAAACCATAGAGAAAACAATGAGTATTATAGCTTTCATCCAGATGCCCTCCCAAAATCCAACGCTCTCATAGGTGGAGATTTTCACAGTGACTGCACTGTGGGCTTGGAATACTGGATTAAACTAATGGTTTAGCATGGTTCTGGGTATAGATTGCGAATTTACTGAAGAAGCAGGACCCATAGTGGGTATGAATGACACTAACCATACCCTTGAAGTCTAGATTGAATAAAAAGGGAAAAAAGAAGGAAGTCCTGCTGCTTCCAGCCTGCTATGCCATGAACTGTTTCTCTGGGTGCCATGGCACCTTCCCATACAGATAGCTGCCTATGCACTGAAACCTCTACAAATTGTGAGCTGAAATAGATTTCCTCATTTAAGTTTTATCAGGCATTCTACCTCAGCAACAAGAAAGTAATTAAAACAATGAATAATGTAACAGACTAAACTGAATGAATGCATTTTCATATAGCTAAGCATCAAACGGGGATAGTTAATGGGATCACTTGGTATAGATGCACTCAGAAGAGTAGTTAGGGCCAAGGAGATACCTCAGCAGTCTAAGCACGGGACAAGCAAGCACTTCCTCCAACCAGGCCATGCCTTGTCCTCTAGAACAGGATGTGGACCTCATTCCTGGCAGGAAGGGAAGGCACAGCTCCCTCCTGCAGATGTGTTTCTTCCAAGAGCCTCAACACAGACTCCCTTTGTTATTCCTGTGCAGTTTAGAGTTTGGTTTGTACTTAAACCACTTACTGTGAATGAACCATAGGAAGTGTGAGAGCCCTCTCCAGTGTTCTGAATGGTGTGGAATCCTCACCTTTCCCACAGAAACAGTGAGGCTCCTGAGTCTCACTCTTGCACTGGTTCTCCAGGGGCAGTGGTAAGTTACACAGAGATGTCAGTGCTCCCATGGGTGTCATTTCCTTCCAGATCATTTCTTGGCAATCAGCTGTGTCCTAGGAGTAAGCAAGTAAAGCACTATGATTATCGGGCTACATAAATAAGAACACACTGAGCAACAGGGAAGGAAAGGAGGAAACAGACACATGATTAGAGAGTTACAGAGAAAACAACCACTATAGTCCCTTGTAACTTCAACCAGTAGGTGAATACTTAATACACCAATACAGAAGTTGAATAATTCCGAGAGCCCAGTTCATGCTACTCACAATGGCAATAACCTACAATAAGTCCAAGGAACAAATGAAAATACTGCTTCCTACCTGTTGCCTCTGTTCATCAACTCCTCTCTCAAGCTCCTCCAGCAGAGTCACAGCTTGCTCTCCATTTTCTGGCGGCTGCCTCTGCACCCAAGCCTGCAGCTCCTCGGGCAGGATAGCCAGGAACTGCTCCAACACCAGCAGCTCCAGGATCTGCTCCTTGGTGTGCACCTCTGGCCTCAGCCACTGATGGCAAAGCTCCTGCAGTTGTCTCAGCGCTTCCCGGGGCCCAGCAGAGTCTGAGTAACCAAACTGCCTGAAACGCTGGCGGAAGAACTCCTGACTCTCAGAGCCTCCCTCAAGGACAGAGTCCTTCCCCCAAACATAATTTTCTTCTTCAACCTTCACAACTGTAAGTCCTTCTTCTTCTCTTGGAGCATAGCAGGAAAAGGCTGAGGCCTCTCCTGACATTCCGGGCAGAGGGAGTTGAAAAGCCTGCCCAGCTGCTGTAAGGAGGTGGTGGAGCCTTGTGTCTGTGGGATTCCTTCTGAATTCCAGCTCTTCAGGATGTCCCTGAGGCCGACAGTGCTCATGTTACACAGGTGCTTTGAATGTAAATACCAGGTTTTGAACTCCAGTTACCAGGGAACATAGCACTGTCAAGAAAACCGACTAAAAGGCAGCTCCATAAAAATAATTTATCTTAAATGATTCAAGATTTTTTCAGGATGTGAAACAAAATTTTGGTATTGTTGAAACCAACTGGACCTTCAGGAGTACTGTTAGGGATGTTAGGGACACTAGGGATAACAAATAGTGCTCTCTGAGGACAATCACAAAAGGAGGCTATTAAGATTCATAAACTAATCAAAATCACACAGGAAGTGAGTACATCACTGGGCTCTGCATGTGAAATACTTAATTCTTGCCAGTATGAAATGGGTTCTCCCCCAAAAGGGGAACTTACTTAATAAACATTTAGTTTAGGCCAGGCAGCTTACAAATACTATATTATCGGGGATGACAATAACAATAGTGTTATTATCTCCATGTTTAATATATAAAGAAAGTGACCTTCAAAGTATATGGATTTCTCCAAGACCCCAAACTAATCAAACATATGAACCTAGGGTTGCCCACCTGTTAAGTATTTGCAATGATGGTGAAATATTAGAAATGGACCATGAAGGCCAGGCAAATAGCTCAGTGCATTAAAGTGCCTGCAAGCAGGTACAGGGGCTGGGGGTTCCATTCCCAGGCCTGCCATGCTGGCCCTGCCCTGAGGTACACTGAGAAGGCAACTGAGACTGGGCATGGTGGTACGTGACTATAATCCCAGCTCTTGAGAGGCTGTAAACAGGCGGATCACTGTAAGTCCGATCTAGTAGTGAGTCCCTGAACACCCTGTAGACCCTGCCCTACAATACCAAAAAAAAGAAAAAAGAAAAGAACCATGGATAACAGTGACAAATATACAAATAAGGAAAATTATTTTGGACTTTAATTCACGCAGTTCTGACATGATACAAGGAAAAGGGAAGTAGATTCTTTTGCCTATTATTTCAACAAATACTTGTATGTTTACTATGTTCTAGGCAGTGCACTAAGCAAGGGTCTCAGGAAACAGGTTCTGTCTCCAAGCACTCTTTAGTTCACTCTGGAAAATGACAAGTGAACACACACAGTGATAAATCCAAGTATAGTAAGCACAACGAAATGACCACTGACCAAGAGCAAGAAGAGAAAAGCTGGAAGAACCACAGAGAACTACCTGGAGGAGACATCTGAGTAGAATCTCATCTCAGTGTGCCAGGCGAAGATGCAGAGGAATGTCATTCAGTAAAAATAGATGGACTGTGACAGCATGTGGCCCACTGAAGAAGTCCAATATGGTTTGCAGAGGTTGGAATAATGGTAGTCACCTCTGGCTTTGCCTCAGAGTCAGCCATGGAGCATCAATCAATGACAGAGTCACTGAGTCAGAATCTCCCAAAATGGAGCTGCAGTCAGTACCCTACACTGTTGTGACACATAGCCAGGTTAAGAACCCTGTTCTAGAGCCTAGGAAGTAATTAAGGAATAGTGCAAGAAGAGGCACACGTAGAGTAACAGCTGCTCATCAAGGGTCTGGTTTAGTTAGGTGATTCCTTATGGCCACAGGGATATCTGGGAGAGTGATGTGGAAAAGACACAGAAGGTTTATTGCAACCATCTGGCCAGGAGACATTGAGGTCCTGAGCTATGGGAGTCAAAATATACAAGCAGAGGGGGCCGGGGAGATGGCTCAGTGGAATAAGCACTTTCCTGGCAAGCACAAGGGTCTGAGTTCAATCCCCGGTTCTGGGGTGGGGGGATTGAACTCAATGCAGATATTAGACAGGAGAACACACTAGAAAGCGTTTAGAGGAAAGAAGAGTGAAGAACTAGAGTTTATGGTCCTGATGACTGAAGACATGGTGTCCTTTGTTCAGGTATTCATGAAGAAAGTTAAATCTGAGATGCCTACAGAGCAGCCTTTCCAGAAGTACACTTTGCCAGATATTAGAAGATGTTTTCCACAAAGAAACTTGATGAGTCTCTTAATATTTTAGTTCACCAACCATATTAACTACATAAGTTTTTGTTGAGTGTTGGAGACTAAACCCGGAAGCACTGAATTATGTGCCTAGCCCTTTTTATTTTCAAACAGGATCTCACTAAGGCTGACCTCAAACTTGCAATCCTCCGGCACAGCATCCCAAGTAGCTCTTTAGGGCTCACTATTTAACAGCTGGCATTCAGGAAATCAAGAGGTGAGAAACTGTCACATCTGTGCATGGATATATGACTAGCATTTACCAGGGCTGCATCACAATGATTTGTGTCCTTCACTTAGTGATCACTAATATATGTTATGCCTCTTGTCTTTTTTGGCGCCAGGGATGGAACTCAGGACCTTGTGCTTGCCAGGCAACGACCTATTCCACTAAGCTATCTCCCTGGCCCCAGTCTCTTGTCTTTTAATTCCAGTGTCTGTGATACTGTTCATTTTGTACTACTGATGATATGCCTCACCAACATGTCCTCCATGTTTGTGAGATTCAGGGAAGTTCCTAACCATAAAAGAATCATCTTTGCTTCTTCTCCACCTCCTGCATGGGTACACTCCCCTCTATGGCACAGCTAGGAGTTGCAGAAACAAAACTAAAAGAACACTACATTTCTTTCCCTCCAAGTGTTTCTCTCATTTTGTCCATATATACACTTTTGGGACTATTTGGCTAATACTTGTTTTATTCATGACTAAAATGTTTTAAAATACAGTAGATCAATGATTTTACTCACCATTATATCTCTAACACACGAATCATAGTACACCTTATATAAAAAACTTAACAGAAGTATAGTAAAATAACAAAGTTCAAAGTCAGAGTGCTCAATATGGTATTCTCAAGTGCCTGATGTGGACTATCTATGTTTGCACGGTATCCTAACCTGGAAGGCACTGTTTCAGCTCACAGACAGACCACCAGCTTTGGATTTAGGTGACCCTAGTTAAAAATCACATAGCAGTCTCTTGAGAGTATGGCACTAGTCAGATATTATTCACTAACCAAACCTTTCTCAGGCCCAATTTGCTCTCATAAAAGTGGAACTAATAATGTAACATTACAGTTAGACAACTTGGAAATAACATCTAAATAGCACTGTTTAGTGTATTAAACATGTATCATTTCAAGGATTTGACATCTGGGGCCTTAATGACATGGGATGTCACTCCCAAGGTTAATCAATTCCTAGAAATGACAAGCAACTCACTTGTCAGCATGCCTTTCAAATGGAAACCAGCAGACCCAGGATCCACACCACCACTACCTTTTCTGTCAGGCTCTTCCCCTCAAGACACCCTATCTCTCATCACTTCAGAGTGCAGTACCAAATGACTAAGGACAACTTCAATGCTCCAGAGTCCACTAAATCTTTTCATACTGGTCAAACTACACTTGCTTGCCCTAATCTTCATTGTTTCTGTCCACAAAAACCACAGTAAAAGTTCTTGCTACTTTCCCGTCACTCTCTGCCTCCCAAGGAGCTTCCTTGCCCAGGAAGACATTCTTCTAATGCAAAGTGAAAGAAACTATGTTTTAAACAGTGATCAGCTCCTACTGCCTGAATAACAAAATATATTTTAAAACAATGGAGTCAACTACACATTCAAGGCATGATTGAGGTGAGACAAGGTAAGGCAAATTCCACACCAAATGGCACAGCTTATACAGAAGGCTTTATTGGAGAAGAACACAAGCCAGTAAAAGTCAGCACAAGTGCCCTGAGGTCCAATACCCCATAACAGAAATCTGGAGAGAGGTGCCTCTATGTCTAAGGGGTGAGCTCCCACTACCTTCTAGTGTGAACATCTGAGAAAGCCCTGTCAGTGAGAGGATAAACCAACTGTTTTGGTCTGATGCCTAGACTGACTTGTCACTTGTTTACGTAGTCCAGGAAAGCACTTATCCAGCACCTGGGTGGAGGTGGGGTTTGTAATGTGGAGCTCTGGCTTTGGGTACAAGTCCCTCCCTCTGGGAGAAGGCAAATCCCTGGTCCTCACTGTTCCTCCCAGTAACCTAGAGGAAACCTGCAGGGCTCTTCGGGACAGCCTCGGAGAGGAACTAAGATGTCTCCACTCTAATGTAATACAATGTTTGCCTGGCTGCCACAGCAAACCCCAGCCGCGCCTCTCTTACACACACCAGCACCTGCTTTAAGTGCTAGTTCACTCTATCCTCACATCGTCCTAAGGTGTAAGCTCAACGGTTGAAGAAAAGAGAACACATGCAATGGCCCAGCAGTCTGTAAGTGACGAGTCTGGCCTGCTCTCAAATGAAGTGGCCTGACGCCTAGGTCCACGCTGCCTGCCATCACCTGCATTCCCAGCCAAATCAAAGCGCCCTTTACAAGAGTCCTGCGTTTTCTCATACATTTCTTTAATATCTCCCGAGGACCAATCTGTGCAGACATGTGCGAGGGGCTAAGCCAAGAGGTAAGAATGTCCTTGCCATTACAGGGCTTAAAAGTAACGAGGCCCGCAGTAAGTAGCACACACTTTATTACCTAACTCAGCTCCTTTGCAGAACTACCAAGAGAAGGCGCTCTCGGGGCGTCTGACTGAGCACCTCGCCCAAACTGGGCAAGCCGAGAGGAGGGCTGAGCCCTGGCCCACGAGCGAGCTCTGACCTGAACAGAGGCGGAGGCCCGGCACGCCGCAAGCCGGCTCGCTGCTGCGGGAGTCCGAGGAGCGAAGGCGGCGGAGGAGGCACTGCGAGGGCGGGCGGCCCGACGGCCGGCAGACAGGGAGCCCGGGCCAGGCGGACGGCGGGACAGCCTCAGGGGCAACCGGGACGGAAGGCCGCCGAGGGCCACAGAGACAGATGAGCTGGGACCTCCCACTCGCACTTCCCTCGGCGGGCCTCGCCCCCGCCCCCGCCCCCGCCCCCACACAGGCGGCAGAGCCTCGCGCC